CAGTGAATGGTGAAATGGTTATGTTTAACAAACTCGGTGTCTTCTATAAACTTTTAGGAAAGAAAACCTTGCCTTGACAGATGAAGCCTGCTAGCTTGGAGCACATTGACCTTCTGGTGTGTAACCGGTTAAGCCTGAGTACAGAAGGCAAATGTTCTCACCTACAAGTTAGCCACACTGCTTAGAGACACAAATGTCTCCCTTCCAGCAAAAGATTAAAAGCATTTTTATGCTATCAGTACCAGATATGGACAATGAATGGAGCACTAGAACAGAAAATAAGTAAATGTGAAATGCACTGTCTCCCCAAGGTTACTGACAACACCAAACAAGACAAGGTTACAAATATCAGCATTAGAGAGGAATTTGGAATACGACCATATCTGTATTATGTTGACAGACAAAAAATGAAACGTTTGGCCATCTAGTGAGAATGCAGCCAGATCAGACTGCATATGAGACTTTCTACAGTAGAAAGTCCGGGAGGATAAATAGTGTAGATAAAACTGCAAAAATCTGAACAAATCCATCACTCAAGCCACCCGAGAAATGCAAAACAAATACAGAAAAACCACGACACTGGGCTACAACCTGGTAAAAGTAAGACGGCAAAAGAAGAAAAGAAAAAACAACTGGATGTGAGGGACATATATTGAAAGAGGAATAAATAATATGAGTAAGATTTTTATGAATATTATTGGAATATGTTTTGAGTCAAACAGTTTGAAAAATAAAAAAATAATAAACAATTTTTAGAGTTACAACCCTTGTCAAAATATGCCAGTTGTATCTCTCTTCCTGTCTTGTACCCTGTTCCTGCATCACACATGGATCAGACATTCTACTGTTCAGACATCTTATGGGTACTTCTATGACAAACCTCAACTTACAGATAATCTTTACAATATTAGCCTCTTCACCAGTGATCTCAGGTCATGTGCTCAATAAACAATGTGCATAAACTGAGATATTTCCCCTCTTCTCCAGTGATCTGTGGTCATGTGCTCAATCGACTGTGTGCATAAACTGAGATATTTCCCCTCTTCTCCAGTGATCTGTGGTCATGTGCTCAATCCACTGTGTGCATAAACTGAGATATTTCCCCTCTTCTCCAGTGATCTGTGGTCATGTGCTCAATCCACTGTGTGCATAAACTGAGATATTTCCCCTCTTCTCCAGTGATCTGTGGTCATGTGCTCAATCCACTGTGTGCATAAAGTGAGAAATTTCCCCTCTTCTTCAGTGATCTCTAGTCATGTGCTTAATCCACCATGTGCATAAACTGAGATATTTCCTCTTTTCTCCAGTGATCTCTGGTCATGTGCTAAATCCACGATGTGCATAAAATGAGATATTTCCCCTCTTCTCCAATGATCTCTGGTCATGTGTTAATCCAATATGTGCATGAAATGAGATATTTCCCCTCTATCTAGTGATCTCTAGTCATGTGCTCAATCCACTATGTGCAAAAACTGAGATATTTCCCCTCTTCCTCAGCAAGCTATGGTAATGTGATCAATACACTATGTGTCATAAACTGGGATTTCAGGTCTACTGAGTGTGGTCACATCCTGTTTTACAGAATCTCCAAGAGAGGAGAGATCTGTGATCAATGATTGCTATTAGTCTTATTCCACACACTGGACAGTTTGCTCAAGATCTTCATGTGTGCCCTATAGTTGTTCTGGAATGATCACCCCTGTAGACCAGATTTCCTCTTTCCAACTAACAAGGTCTGGACAATCTTATAAGACATATTTGGAATTTGTTTTAGTGCCCCATATCCACACGTGACAGTCAGCAAGACCAATACAACACAGGTGTGCTCAGAGTCTACTGTTCTGTCTAAAAACATTCAGATATGCAAATTTCTGTTAAAAACTTAATTATTAATAAATGCTGTCAATGAGGCTGTATTATTAATAAATTATCTTATTAAGAACTGCATAATTCTGATTCAAATGCACATTTAATTAATAAGTCACATTAATTCTAACATTTTTTCAACAATCCACATAAAATACCTGATAAAGAGTAACATATTCATTATAAAAACAAATGCGGTAACAAAAGCATATAGCCATTCTACAATATAAGTGATTTTGTACATTTTGATTTTTCAGTTAGTTAATCGAAGTTCCAACCTCACTGCAGACAAGTTGCACAGTAACTGCAGACAAGTTGCACAGTAACTGCAGACAAGTTGCACAGCAACTGCACCAATGTGCCTATGGAACATACATAAAATGTCCATCACTGTCTCATTTTAAAACTAGAGAAAAACATGTGAAGCTCGCAAACACAAAGTCAATGACTAAAGACAGCCGCCAGATGTGCCAACATTAACAGTCCCTCACCAGGTTGTAGCTCACAGGTGATGCAAGTGGTTCAGTTATCAAAACAGGAACTGTACATGCAATACTGTTTAAGTACAGGCCATTCTGAACATAACTGGCCAGCTGCCCTTTTTAGTTCAGTTCACACAATAAGCCATCACTGGCATAATAAAAAAAAAATTAAAACATTCCACACATCACAGTGTTGCACCTAGCACTCAACTCAATTGCTGGGTGACAGAACTTTTATACTCCTGGTCAAGAAATGGGGAATTCGGATCAGCAAACCTGACTAAAAACAAATAACTTCCCAGCATCAGCAGCAAGCCAGCTATCTGCCATACTGAACCGCAAATTACCTAAAAAGATTTGTCTCTGGTGAGTGTCAACTTTGTTACAAAGCCCCGATTCCTGACAATGCTTCTGGTGCCTGATAATACTTTCTGGACACTACTTTCTAACATATCAGACAGTGTGTGGCTGGATCCTAACTGAACTCAATCAATCAATGAGTTTCATCTCTACAATGAAGGTTGACTGCAATCAATCTCCACTATTCTTCACTTCTTGTACCAATTCCACTCTCAGAAACTGCTGTTTGTCCATATTTTGATGTTGACTCCCCCGCCACCCCCCACTTGCATTCATATCTATATCTTTTTTATTTCATTCAGCAAATACCCCCCCCCCCCCCAGTCTCTTCGGAACTTCCGCGTTTGATTTTTTTATGTTTCCATAAGATACGACTGATTTTTCTGCACACCCACATCTCCAGGAACCTCTTTAATTACTACTGAAATTGTTCATTTCAAGACCATCTGACATACCCATAAGTGCTCCGATCTTAATGCTAGTGATATTCTTCATTTCACAGCTTCACTGTCCATCGGGCATACCTATAAGTAAGTCGTTAAACAACCCATTTCCTTGACCTTAGACGTATGGACATATAGGACTTTACCCATATCATCTGAGAGACCAATTGGCATTTGGTGCATAATGAGGTCAATATCTCACCAGCTGCCTAAACTTCATAGGACTTTACTTGGTACTTCTTTAAGGCTAGTAGATCAAGGAGCCATTTTTGAAGAAAAATAAAAAACCCCAAAAATGTGGTTTCGTCAGGGGCTGAACACACGACCTTCATATCCGCAGACAAGAGTCTAGCTGCAACACCATGGCAGCTTCTCAAATGCATAAGTAAAAGACCCTTTTCCACGATTTAGACGTATAGGGCATATAGGGCTAGACCTATATTTTATAGGCCAATCAGCACAAGATATGTGATGTGGTCAGCATCATGCCGGCCACCTTTACTTCCCGGGAATGCACTCCGTACTCACTCAAGGCTGGGTCAACCTGGAAGCCAAGGTCATTTTTGAAAAAAGTTCGGCTCTTGTCTACAATTTAATATTCTACTAAAAATAACTGATCTAGTCTACAACTAAATATTTTTCTAAACATAACTGATCTAGTCTAAAACTAAATATTGTACTAAACATAACTGATCTAGTCTACAATTTAATATTCTACTAAACATAACTGATCTAGTCTAAAACTAAATATTTTTCTAAACATAACTGATCTAGTCTACAACTAAATATTTTTCTAAACATAACTGATCTAGTCTACAACTAAATATTTTTCTAAACATAACTGATCTAGTCTAAAACTAAATATTGTACTAAACATAACTGATCTAGTCTACAATTTAATATTCTACTAAACATAACTGATCTAGTCTACAATTTAATATTCTACTAAAAAATAACTGATCTAGTCTACAACTAAATATTTTTCTAAACATAACTGATCTAGTCTATAACTAAATATTTTTCTAAACATAACTGATCTAGTCTAAAACTAAATATTGTACTAAACACAACTGATCTAGTCTACAATTTAATATTCTACTAAACATAACTGATCTAGTCTACAATTTAATATTCTACTAAAAATAACTGATCTAGTCTACAACTAAATATTTTACTAAACATAACTGATCTAGTCTACAATTTAATATTCTACTAAACATAACTGATCTAGTCTACAACTAAATATTTTTCTAAACATAACTTATCTAGTCTACAACTAAATATTTTTCTAAACATAACTGATCTAGTCTACAATTTAATATTCTACTAAAAATAACTGATCTAGTCTACAACTAAATATTTTACTAAACATAACTGATCTAGTCTACAATTTAATATTCTACTAATCATAACTGATCTAGTCTACAACTAAATATTTTTCTAAACATAACTGATCTAGTCTACAACTAAATATTTTTCTAAACATAACTGATCTAGTCTACAACTAAATATTTTTCTAAACATAACTGATCTAGTCTACAACTAAATATTTTTCTAAACATAACTGATCTAGTCTACAACTAAATATTTTTCTAAACATAACTGATCTAGTCTCCTGCCAGAGATAAAATGTAAACGGTTTAATCAGCATAACTGACCAGTTATGTATGGAGTACTAAACAGCTTTTATGGTATGACTTACAACTAAGAATGTGATCTATATGCATTTAAAAAAATACAAACATATTATCCCCCTTGCCCTCAAATACATTTCACAGATAAAAAGTATATGACAGAGGATGTGGCACATCAAATTGTAACATTCCTTCGCAGAATACAAGTCATTATGTCAGTGATGTTTGGTCTTCTTTATGTTGTTATTTGTAACCAGAACCCCGTTGGTGATGTGGCTTTCCCCGGCCTGTGCGGCAAACAGAAACGAATGGTGCTTGAAATCCAGGTAGGCTGTGAAGTTGTAGGCCATGTTGGTGTAGCCGATCACGTACTCACAGACGGAGAACATGCTGAAGGCTGCAATGGATAGATATCAAAGTTATATTCAGTGATTCATTAACATGTCAAACAATATTTACTAAAATAACTACAACTGAGCTCTTTGTTTTGTAAGGAGGAATTTTCAGACAAATGATCTTTAAAAGCAGTTTGTTCAATTTATTTGGTACATTCAACATTTGTTTTTTCAGGGGCCACAGCGGCAAAGCAGTTTGCCTCACGTTCAGAATGTTGAGGGTTCGTTTCTTATTTGCACTGCTCAGTACACAAGTGCAATGAGATCCCTGGGATCATCACTAAAGCTATAGAATTTGTACTTAGTGTGATTCTCTTGGTAGGGAGAGTACTGTCTACTCCCTCTGTACCATTAACAACCTATGTACTATCTACTTCCTCTGTACCATTAACAACCTATGTACTATCTACTTCCTCTGTACCATTAACAACCTATGTACTATCTAGTTCCTCTGTACCATTAACAACCTATGTACTATCTACTTCCTCTGTAACATTAACAACCTATGTACTATCTACCCCATCTATATTAATAAAAATGTTAATTTTCAGAGTTTGTTAACTCTAAACTAGGAAACTACTGAACCAATTGCTTTCAAATTTTAACACAACGTTGCCTCTGACTCAAAGCTTATTTTTTTTTGGGTCATAAAATCGCACAAACCACGAACGACATAGCTCCAGCAACGGTCAAATCATTATTTGTTTCGTTACCGGCCGGGATTTGTTTTTAGTTGATTGGTCTCTTCGACTGCTGAGCAGGGCTGCCAATAGATGCCTTTTCCCCTAGGATCAATCTCCGACATTTCTTTACCGATCGCTTTCAAATTTTCACACAATGTTGCCTTATACTCCACGCGTGTTTGTATGTATGAGTTTTGCACAAACCACGAATGACGTAGCTCCAGCAACGATTATTTCATTAGTTATTTCGTTGCCAGCCCAGATTTGTTTTTAGTCGATTGGCCACCTTTGACTGTGTAACACCGAACTTCACATTATTATTATATACTTTCATTTCTACTAAATGCTTGAGTATTTAGTAGCGTAGTTAGTTATAAGCATTTCGCCTTTTACACAGGTGATAGGGGTTCGATTCCCCGCTAGGTGTCATAATTTTTTTTCGAGGCTTCTAACCGGGTGGCTGCCACGTTTTGTTGTGGTTTATAGCTAGGCTGCAATATCTACGCTTTTTTTTCTGTTCGATTTGGGGCGTTTACAGCTACCCTGCGATAGCGACGACGTGATGCTCAATGTTCATGTCACGGATAATATTCATTCGCCCTTGAGAGGGCGGTTGGCACATTGTGTTGTGGTTTATGGCTAGGCTGCGATATCTGACCTAAAGTCTTTAGTCTTCGGTAGCAGAGTTGTAAGTATGCCGCCCTTCACGCGGATGACCGGTATTTGATTCCCCGCTGGGTGCTAAATTTTCTTTTTCCCCTAAACTGGCAATTGGCACGCTGTGTTGTGGTTTACAGCTAAGTTGCTACATATGCGCCTTACGCCCAAAGACATCCGATTTCAGTACAGTCCAAATTAGCCTCGCCCTGACACTTCACTCGATCAAAAACTATTCGTTGATGACAGAAACTGTTAACTAAGAAGGCTAACGGTCCAGTTTGGTTTGGGTCAACACAGATGCCAAGGTTAATTAAACATCGTCCCTTCGGAGAGGGAGAGATGACGAGTGCGGGTCTTTATTTCCGCTATTTGTGAGTATAGTGTACTTTTTTTTAAATCACGGAATTTTACTGTGGGTTCCACCACTGGTTAGGTGATGGAGTTTTATGTTGGGGACAACGACCTGTACAGACAGTAGTGACTGTTTTGTGTTGCTGTTGTTGTTGTGACGGTGGTGGTGGTAGCAGTAGTACTGGAACTCAATGGGTGATGTGGTAGCTGTTACACTGGGCACATTTACTTCTCAGTACAGATTAATGCTACCCATTTTTGTCTGGGTGGACACGGATGCCAAGCTCAATTTAACAATAATATTTCGTCAGGCGATGACTTTTCCATACTTCGTAGAGGATGATATAATTGTCGGGGAGGGGGGGGGGGGGGGTTGATGCCAGACACTGTTAACTGAGAGAGCTTAAAACATTATTTTACAGTTCTCATTTCCTAACTATTTCTATTTTAACAAGGTCGCCATATAATAATGTTTCAATCATTCGGAGAGGGAGATATTATTGGGCAGATGCTTGAGTCCTTGGTAGTAGCGTAGTTGTATGTTTTGCGTGTTACGCGGATGACCGGCGATCGATACCCCGCTAGGTGATTAAATATTTTTTTTGCCCATAACTAGGCGGCTGGCACGCTGTGTTGTAGTTTACAGCTAGGCTGCGATATCTACGTCTTTTTTCCACTCGGTTTGGGGTTTACAGCGAGCCTGCGATAGTGGCAATGTGATGTTGGTCATGTCACGGGTAATCTTCTTGAGAGGGCGGTTTACAGCTAGGCTGCGATTTCGGATCCAAAATCTTCATTCTTAGGTAGTATAGTTGAAAGCATTCCGCCCTTCACGCGGTTGACCGGTGTTCGATTACCCACTGGGTGCTAATTTTTCTTTTTCCCCCAAGAGGGCTGTTGGCATGTTGTGTTGTGGTTTACAGCTAGGCTGCGATATCTGCACCTTTCGCTCAAAAACATCTGATTTCAGTAAAGTCCCATTTATCCTCCCCGCGACGCTTCACTCGATCATAAACTATTCGTTGATGACAGAAGCTGTTAACTAAGACTGCTTACAGTCCAGTTTACTTTAGGTGGACCGGATGCCGTCATTTAACGTACGTACGTACGTACGTATGTATGTATGTATGTATGTATGTATGTATGCATGGGTATATGTATGTAGGTGCTTGTATGTATTACGTATGTGTATGTATGAGAAAGTAAGAGTATGTGTACGTTAGAGTGTGTAAGATTATGTATACATGATGTGTGTAAGCATTATTTTATAATGTATAATTTTTATTATATACATAACATGCATTATTGATAACAGGCATGGGTACTCCATCTGTACAATCAACAACCTCTGAACCATTTACAACTTCTGTATATCTACAACCGCTGTACTATCTACAACTTTTGTATATCTACAACCTCTGTACCATCTACAACCTCTGTACCATCTATAACCTCTGTACAATCTACAACCTCTGTACCATTTACAAGCTCTGTACCATCTATAAGCTCTTTACTAACTCTGTACCAGCTACAAGCTCTGTACTAACTCTGTACCATCTACAAGCTCTGTACCATCTACAAGCTCTGTACCATCTACAAGCTCTGTACCATCTACAACCTCTGTACCATCTACAAGCTCTGTACCATCTACAACCTCTGAACCATCTACAAGCTCTGTACCATTTACAAGCTCTGACCTAACTCTGTACAATCAACAACCTCTGAACCATTTACATCTTCTGTATATCTACAACCGCTGTACTATCTACAACTTTTGTATATCTACAACCTCTGTACCATCTACAACCTCTGTACAATCTACAACCTCTGTACCATTTACAAGCTCTGTACCATCTATAAGCTCTTTACTAACTCTGTACCAGCTGCTACAAGCTCTGTACTAACTCTGTACCATCTACAAGCTCTGTACCATCTAAAAGCTCTGTACCATCTACAACCTCTGTACCATCTACAAGCTCTGTACTATCTACAAGCTCTGTACCATCTACAAACTCTGTACCATTTACAAGCTCGGTACTAACTCTGTACCATCTACAAGCTCTGTACTATCTACAAACTCTGTACCATCTACAAGCTCTGTACCATTTACAAGCTCGGTACTAACTCTGTACCATCTACAAGCTATGTACCATCTACAGCCTCTGTACCATCTACAAGCTCTGTACTAACTCTGTTCCACCTACAACCTCTGTACTAACAGTAACCTTTGTACCATCTACAACATCCTCACCATTTACTTCCTCTGTACCATCTACAAGCTCGGTATATCTACAAACTCTGTACCAGCTACAACCTCTGCACCAACAGTAACCTTTGTACCATCTACAACATCCTCGCCATCTACTTCCTCTACACAATGTACTACCTCTACGTCACCTACCAGCTCCTCAGTATTTTTTTAAAAAGTGTAGCAACAAAACCCACTCACCTCCAACAACACAGTGAATCCGATGTAGATAAAAAAAGAAGAGAAGGCCGGCCGTGGCGATGGATATGGAAACAAACATGGCTTTCTTCCACCAGTAAGACACTTTCTCCTATCAGGGATGAACAAGCAAAACAGTTGAGATATGAGACATTGATTACACAAATGCACATATTGTGTGAGATAATCAATAAAACTCAGTAGCAGCTGTGTATGGCTAAAAACTTGCCTGCCAGTCATCAGGTCTTGGGTCGGAAACTGCACCAACTCTGATTTTTTTTCTCAAAAGTAACCCCGGCTCCCAGGTTAACCCAGTCTAAAATGGCTAAAAAGTAAAACCCTGGGAAGTAAACCTGACTTGCTAGGTCTGTTGCAGTTTAATGAAGATACACTCCGACTTCGAAGAAAACATCCCCCAGTTGGTCACAGTTTAAGACATACTTGCTATGGGGCAGTGAGCCTATTCCTTTCTCCAGCAGAAACGGGGACCTGATTCCACGTGAGAAATTTCTGTACTTCAATAGGAAGGATTTATTTCTGGGTACTTCATTATATGTTGATGTAACTGCAGAATGTATGTGATGAAACACAGCAAAATGTGCCAGGCAATAAATGATGCAGTGTATTGGTTGTGCCTGCATTTTTTAGATGGGAAAATATGGTTTTGGATTGATTAGAGAAACCAGAAGTGCCAGATTTCCTACAACATATAATAGCACAATAGAAAAACAAGTGAACCGATGAATGAATGAATGAATGAATGAATGAACAAATAAGCAAGTGAATGAACAAAAGAACAAATGAGCAAATGAATGAACTGTGTGTAAATACCAGAATCCTTATATTGAGAAAGAATATATTACAAAGAAAAAATAAAGTGTATGCACAATGTGCAGTGTGAGAATGAATGGACAAAACTGATTTTAATGGGGGGGGGGGGGGGGGGGGGGCAGCAGGCTTGTCTAACATTGGTCCTTTCCAAACACCCATGTTTCACATGGCAAGGAGACAGTATGGTTTTATCTATGAAACATATTATGGTCATACAGTAGCAACATATGATGAGAGAAAATCTACTTACGGTTTCTGTGAAGACACCATTTCTGCTCCAATTAAAGAGAATGGTGTTAAGTAACATATAACACACAGAGGTCACCATAAATACGATAAAAATCTTCTCATGTACGGCTGAAACAGAAAGGGGTAACAAATAAATAAATACACTACCCAAAACAAAACAAAATTTTTTTAAAAACAGCACAGCTACTGAAATTATTTCATTTGGAACGCTTTTTCAACTGTGCCCAATGTGCTTTGTGTTGTGAACTACAGATTAAGAAAATAGCGAGTAGCCTGTAATCAGAGAACTTGTGGGGCCTTATGAGATTGACTGATTGTGCAATTACAGATCAGTTGTCACTGCTGCTTGTATCAATGATCTGCTTTCTGGTGTCGGCACTGCTGCTTGTATCAATGATCTGCTTTCTGGTGTCAGCACTGCTGCTTGTATCAATGATCTGCTTTCTGGTGTCGGCACTGCTGCTTGTATCAATGATCTGCTTTCTGGTGTCAGCACTGCTGCTTGTATCAATGATCTGCTTTCTGGTGTCAGCACTGCTGCTTGTATCAATGATCTGCTTTCTGGTGTCAGCACTGCTGCTTGTATCAATGATCTGCTTTCTGGTGTCAGCACTGCTGCTTGTATCAATGATCTGCTTTCTGGTGTCAGCACTGCTGCTTGTATCAATGATCTGCTTTCTGGTGTCAGCACTGCTGCTTGTATCAATGATCTGCTTTCTGGTGTCAGCACTGCTGCTTGTATCAATGATCTGCTTTCTGGTGTCAGCACTGCTGCTTGTATCAATGATCTGCTTTCTGGTGTCAGCACTGCTGCTTTATGCGTTGAATGCAAATTTATGCTGTTCTATTTATTGAGTCAACTTTTTTGACAAAGGACGGTGATGGACATTATGTGTGCTTCTCGTCGGCAGAGAAAAAGAAAACAACTATGGGGTGACCCATTTGCTACAAAGTGGGAACTGGGAGTATCTGATTACCATAACATTCAATCTATTTGGATCTTGACCATGCAGTATTTTAAGGCCAAAAAAAAAAAAAAAATCATGTCGAAAAAAAAAAAAGGTAGAGAAATAGATGCTGATAAGACTGAAAAGTTAAGTTAATTTAAAAAAGGAAAGAAAATTGGAAGAGAAGAGAAGAGAAGAAGAAAAAGAGGAACTAAAAAACTTTATTTTCAAAGCATTAAGAATTGGGTTTACAGGCCCGTTTAACATTCTGCCCTTATTTCCATCCTTTCATTCATATATTTATTAACAAGTAAAAATAAACATTATCAACAGCAGCTAACTATTAAACACAAGCACTTGAATGTGATGTTAACCAATTTTTACTGTAATAAATCCAGAGGAAATATGCGTTATTTCTAAGGAGGAGGATAAAATGAATCAGAAAATCAAACAGAACCTGTGATGAGCAACTGAAGACAACACATATGCATGCCTCAAACACATATGCATGCCTCAAACACATATGCATGCCTCAAACACATATGCACGTCTCAAACACATATGCACGCCTCACACACAACTTACGATAATTCTCCCGATTGGTGATATACGCCACCAGGACTAAACATGAGTTCTCGATGAAGTTTATCCAGAAGTTAGTTTTGATAAGGAACTTGTATATGGACTGTCTATGAGGCTGGACGTACAGTATCCTGCTGACGTAATAATTATAATGGATTAAACTTAGAGCAAATCGTGGCGCTGAGTGTAGAGCGATGCACGTCCGCCAGAGATATGCCTGGGGTGTGATTCCCGTTACTGCACTTATTGAAGGAACAAAGTTTCTCACCTGAAACAGCACAAAACAGTTTCATGAAAGCAAATAATGATGTCTGATAGTGATAGACTCAATGAGCATGCTTAAGACAAACTGGACTAGAATGAGTTGATAACAACCAGAAGTCCGGCCTCAAGAAACCCTCTTGGTTGTACACACCAGGACATGCCAGGGTGAAAGGAAAGGAAGGAGCAGGCGGACTGGCAGTGTCTGATGTGGTTGGTCAAGGAAAAAGCATCAAGAGGGTAGACATAGAGAATGTGTTGCATTCCAGAGACAAAGAAGTCAGAGATGATGAGCTGCGTATTGAAAATGGGTACTAAACGAGGACAAGCATGCAGAAACCAGTTGCAGGACAAAGCAAGAAAATATGCCAGTCAACTCCTACAGGGTACATTGATCATGGAGACATTGAGATGGCTGCTGTATTGGAGGGGGAAGCACAAATGGGCCGGATTGATGTACTAGAATGTCCATACAGACAACAAGTACTAAGCAAATGATAAAATGTACAGTCTCTTCTCTTCTTGTTCTTAGAAACTGTCGGCTGTAAACACCGGTGGAAAGTTCTAGTTGTTCGACAATTACTGGACTCCAGTCTTGTTCCAGAACTTAAGTTTTGCATGCTCATCTGTTTTACAGATCTTTCTTATTTGTATTCAGACTGTTGGTTCCCTTAACTCTCAGTGAGACTCAGGAACCACCCCTAATCAGTCAGCTTTTACAACATGGTGAGGGTGTTAGATGTTCAGTGACACAGTGGTCTCTGTGCCAGCGCACGAAGACAAGATAAAAGTAAAGAGTCTTTTTAAGTCAGTGGCACATGGGGCATACGATGCTAGACTTAAATCTGTGTATACCAACTGGCACTCGGTGGATGATGTGGTCAACATGACATCGAGCACTTTTACTTACCTGGCAATTACAAGGTACCCATTTAGGTGCGTAGCAAGACAGAACAGGTCAACTGTGAATCAAATTTACTCAGTGCAGATTCAAACCCAAGGCCTTTGGGCCAGCAGGTGAGTGTCTAACCACTATGCTCTCATGGTTCCCCTGGCAACAGATACTAACATCTCCAATCCAGTCAGCCCCAAGGGAAATTTGTGGGATATTTCCCTGCCCAGTGATGGCATGTCACTGACTTAGAGCCACCTGTTCCCTGATAATGTTACCCCAGAATAATCAATACAGCTCAAACTGGGGCAGCAACTGGGCAGAATATTTCCCTTGTGGAGCGTTGAACCCTAGGCTTTTATGCTGTTTAATCTTTGTATTGCTACGAATCTTGCTTTTGTTCAAAAATATTCTGGTGTTACTTTTCCTTTAGAGTAAACAAGGTTAGCAGAGCAAGGGATCATGATGCATTGGCAACACATGATCTCTACAAAACCTCCCAGGCTCTTCTGCAATGTAGAGGAGGAACCTAATTCTATCAACCCCCCCCCCCACCCCCCCCCCACACACACAAATTATTTTACTGAAAATCAAATGGCTTGGTCAGCTGGTCAGAAAGAAATGAAATCAGACAACAGCTACAGCAAACTATACACATGACAACAGTTACAGCAAACTATCCACATGACAACAGTTACAGCAAACTATACACACGACAACAGCTACAGCAAACTATACACACGACAACAGCTACAGCAAACTATACACATGACAACAGTTACAGCAAACTATACACATGACAACAGCTACAGCAAACTATACACATGACAACAGCTACAGCAAACTATACACATGACAACAGTTACAGCAAACTACACACATGACAACAGTTACAGCAAACTATACACATGACAACAGTTACAGCAAACTATACACATGACAACAGTTACAGCAAACTATACACATGACAACAGTTACAGCAAACTATACACATGACAACAGCTACAGCAAACTATACACATGACAACAGTTACAGCAAACTATACACATGACAACAGCTACAGCAAACTATACACATGACAACAGCTACAGCAAACTATACACATGACAACAGTTACAGCAAACTATACACATGACAACAGTTACAGCAAACTATACACATGACAACAGTTACAGCAAACTATACACATGACAACAGTTACAGCAAACTATACACATGACAACAGCTACAGCAAACTATACACATGACAACAGCTACAGCAAACTATACACATGACAACAGTTACAGCAAACTACACACATGACAACAGCTACAGCAAACTATACACACGACAACAGTTACAGCAAACTATACACATGACAACAGTTACAGCAAACTATACACACGACAACAGCTACAGCAAACTATACACATGACAACATTTACAGCAAACTATACACATGACAACAGCTACAGCAAACTATACACATGACAACAGCTACAGCAAACTATACACATGACAACAGTTACAGCAAACTACACACATGACAACAGTTACAGCAAACTATACACATGACAACAGCTACAGCAAACTATACACATGACAACAGCTACAGCAAACTATACACATGACAACAGTTACAGCAAACTATACACATGACAACAGTTACAGCAAACTATACACATGACAACAGTTACAGCAAACTATACACATGACAACAGTTACAGCAAACTATACACATGACAACAGCTACAGCAAACTATACACATGACAACAGTTACAGCAAACTATACACATGACAACAGCTACAGCAAACTATACACATGACAACAGCTACAGCAAACTATACACATGACAACAGTTACAGCAAACTATACACATGACAACAGTTACAGCAAACTATACACATGACAACAGTTACAGCAAACTATACACATGACAACAGTTACAGCAAACTATACACATGACAACAGTTACAGCAAACTATACACATGACAACAGCTACAGCAAACTATACACATGACAACAGCTACAGCAAACTATACACATGACAACAGTTACAGCAAACTACACACATGACAACAGCTACAGCAAACTATACACACGACAACAGTTACAGCAAACTACACACATGACAACAGTTACAGCAAACTATACACACGACAACAGCTACAGCAAACTATACACATGACAACATTTACAGCAAACTATACACATGACAACAGCTACAGCAAACTATACACATGACAACAGCTACAGCAAACTATACACATGACAACAGTTACAGCAAACTACACACATGACAACAGTTACAGCAAACTATACACATGACAACAGCTACAGCAAACTATACACATGACAACAGCTACAGCAAACTATACACATGAGAACAGTTACAGTAAACTACACACATGACAACAGCTACAGCAAACTACACACATGACAACAGTTACAGCAAACTATACACATGACAACAGCTACAGCAAACTATACACATGGCAACAGTTACAGCAAACTATAAACATGATAACAGCTACAGCAAACTACACACATGACAAGAGTTACAGCAAACTATACACATGACAACAGTTACAGCAAACTATACACATGACAACAGCTACAGCAAACTACACACATGACAAGAGTTACAGCAAACTATACACATGACAACAGTTACAGCAAACTATACACATGACAACAGTTACAGCAAACTATACACATGACAAGAGTTACAGCAAACTATACACATGACAACAGTTACAGCAAACTATACACATGACAAGAGTTACAGCAAGCTATACACATGATAACAGTTACAGCAAACTATACACGTGACAACAGTTACAGCAAACTATACACATGACAACAGCTACAGCAAACTATAAACATGACAACAGCTACAGCAAACTATACACATGATAACAGCTACAGCAAACTATACCCATGATAACAGCTACAGCAAACTATACACATGATAACAGCTACAGCAAACTATACACATGATAACAGTTACAGCAAACTATACACATGACAACATTTACAGCAAACTATACACATGACAAAAGTTACAGCAAACTATACACATGACAACAGTTACAGCAAACTACACACATGACAACAGTTACAGCAAACTACACACATGACAACAGTTACAGCAAACTATACACATGACAACAGTTACAGCAAACTACACACATGACAACAGTTACAGCAAACTACACACATGGCAACAGTTACAGCAAACTATACACATGGCAACAGTTACAGCAAACTATACACATGACAACAGTTACAGCAAACTACACACATGACAACAGTTACAGCAAACTACACACATGACAACAGTTACAGCAAACTATACACATGACAACAGTTACAGCAAACTATACACATGACAACAGTTACAGCAAACTACACACATGACAACAGTTACAGCAAACTACACACATGACAACAGTTACAGCAAACTACACACATGACAACAGTTACAGCAAACTACACACATGACAACAGTTACAGCAAACTATACACATGACAACAGTTACAGCAAACTATACACATGACAACAGTTACAGCAAACTACACACATGACAACAGCTACAGCAAACTACACACATGACAACAGCTACAGCAAACTACACACATGACAACAGCTACAGCAAAATACACACATGACAACAGTTACAGTAAACTACACGCATGACAACAGCTACAGCAAACTACACACATGACAACAGTTACAGTAAACTACACACATGACAACAGTGGAAAGGGGGAGGGGGAGGGGGAAATAAATCGACCAGTTCATCTCTTTTGAGCTGCTACCTAAAGGTTTGCCACACCATCCAGAGATTTCAAATTTCAGTCTGTATGGCAGATGGAGCAGTGCTGTTATTTTTCATTAGCCATTAATTTTTCTTGGATTGTTCTATTCTCTCATCATGGACTTCCTATTTTTGTACATTTCCAGAGCAGGGCACTATGTGTTTTTTATTGCAGCAGCGTGTATTTTTGTTATGTTTTGTCGGAGCAGGATAATGACTGATAGATTTGACAGCCTCCGTCGTGATGCCTTTGCAATCTTTTGACTGCGGCAGCCCACTATCTGGGAAGACAGAATCTCGTCAGCAGGGGACTGCTGCAACTTCTAGAGAGCAAACATGATAAAAGCTTTTCCCAGAAAGAGAATGTGTCAACCATTTGTTTTATGGGGAGGAATCGACACACGCGGTTAACTCAATGGCCATGCTCACATATTTATCCAACTTGGGATAAGTGTGTATGGTACCGTGGTACTGTAACACTTGGCAACAATCAAGTGAAAGCAGGCCTTGCACCTGAATCTCTAACAGGTTTGCCCTTAGCCACCAAAAGCCATGCGGCTTCCTTTGTTGCTAGGGGAGGACAAGGTATCCCTTCTAACGGTGAGGACACTCGTCCATCCCTAGTAGTCATGCAGTGGAACGCAGAAGGTGTATTTAATACAAAGGCAGAACTAGGGGAGTGCCTGCGAGCAGAGAAAGTAGGTATTATCTGCATTCAAGAGAGGCACCTCAATCCAGGAAATAGATAACATATTAGAGGATATGAAATATTTCACCAGGATAGAGAAATCCGACATAAAAGTGGGGTAACCAGGTTGGTTCGTAAATCAATACCAGCTGTTGAATCACATAGATCCAACCAGCTGAATACTGAATTCATTGCTGTCCAGCTGCAACTAAACAATAAAAATATGTCAGTCTACAACATTTACTCACCACCAACACACCTTACCAAACTTGAAGTTATACAGGTTGAAGAAAGTAACTTACTAATTACAGAAGATTTCAACAGTCACTCACCAAGCTGTGGTTATGAGTGTTTAGATTCCCATGGAGCACAGGTCTTCAATCAAAACACACTTAGCCTTTCTATCCTTTCCTGTCTCCATGTAATTCTTCCATCTCATGAACTCTAAACTCTCTTCTCCCCAACACCATTTCCCTTTGGTTATGTGGGTTCCTGGGTAAACACATTCTAGTTATATGATTATCTTGTTTTCTAACTGAGGGTCACTATATCACCAGCATATGTTCTTCACCTCTCAGCAGGAATTGGAATATTACTAATTCATATCTTATATATTTCCCCTCCAGGATTGGTTTCTGGGATATCCTATGAAAAACGGCCACATATTGTGGCTGTAAAAAACACCTTGACAGGGCCTCAATAACAAGTAAATTGCAAACTTTTTTTCTGCCGAATATACCGCGGCAAAAGTATGATAAATTTCCGGCTATGATGTCGCACAACGCAACAAACCGCCAAGCTAAACTCGCCACCTAGATTTTCCCTGTGCCACGCGAAGTGGGGCTAGACTAAATGGCTGGCACTCACTAGCATTAGCTACTGCATCGTGCAGCTTCCTCATTTTATTTGCTTGTGAGTCCCAGCCATCTAGTTTAGCCGTCCTCCACGCTGCGCGTAGCGGCACAGGGGATACTCTCAGTGGTGAAAACTGCGTTACCAATGTGGCACTTGTTTCGATCATATTTAGCCGAGTTACAATGGCGCCAGTCACAAAGAGCAGATTTTCGGGCACTATTTGCAACTTCTGGGCCACAATTTTCAGATATAAAGGCCTCAATTATCGCATTTTCCCTTTTTTCTTCATTATTTTGAGTTCAAGTTTTTTAATGTTTACAACAAACGACATGAGGCCCTGACAGGGTGTGTTTTTGGCCGCCATAATATGTAGCCGTTATTCGGAGGATTGCCGATTTCTGGAAGATTACCACCCAGAACTCAAAAGACAATGTTTGGAAGTTAATCCATTAGGAAATCCCTGAAAACCCTGTTCAACCCTATAAAAAGTTAGGGCACCTGACGTTACAAAGTAACATGTGAATAACTTTACTTCAACTTACTTGATGGCTTTTTTTTAAGTGCTAGTGTAAATAGACATCTTGTGACGACTACCCGCATTTTTTTTTTTTTAACTATATGATGTGAGCACAGACACCCTTTTTCCAGAAAATTAGCTTTGTTCAGTCGAATAAATAATCAAATGTTGGCTTTTAATCCAGTAAAAAAAAATGACAACACAATAGTGTCAATAGGGTGGGCGTTAACCACAACATACTTTTAAATGTTAAACCCACAAATAAAACAAAGGTGATTCAACATTTTACAATACATCAACCGCTAATTAGGTAAATAAAGGCTTTATTTAATACTTACATTACACATTGTCTCATTGACTTCATCAAATCGAAATAAATACGCCGTAATGAAACAAACAGCCAGAGATATCGCAGGCAGTGCGACAGTCACCAGAGCAAACGGCCACATAGAGATCTTCATGAACGTCTCCTCGACCACCCATCGCTTTTTAATCTTTGCGACCATGTTGTGGGTAAGTTGGGTTGACCAGGGTGTTGGAGGGGTGAGTATTTGCTAGCTAGAAAGGTTGGGAACCGGAGGGTCTCGGGGTTTGTCATGTAGTGACTGGGGTCTGTCTGGCTTCTGCGTCGATGAGATCCGGAAATAACCTCACGGGCGTCAACTGGGTTTCTTCAAAACTTGGATCACGCATAGCAACATTATCCTTATTTACCCATTCAAGATTCATTTATTATCCTGTTGTGCATTATATGTCACATTAGCTCGCAGTCTATTCCTCCATTCCATTCTACCATGTTGATCGGTTCAGTATCATGGATGGAATCCAGTCCGGCAGCTTTGGCCTCTCTTATCAACGTTCGTCTGTGGGTTTCTTTTTGGGCGTCCTCGCCTCCTTGATCCCTTAATTTCGCATTGTAAAGCCTTCGATAGAGTCGACAGGAATATGTTGTGGGAATGTATGGGGGAAAAAAGGAATCAGTAATCATCTCATTAATATTTGCAAAAGCCTGTACACACGTAGTAAATGCTGCATAAGATCGAAGGCAGGGTTGTCAAGAACTTTTATAGTGAACTCTGGTGTGCGTCAGGACTGTGTACTAATACTATCGCCGCTTCTTTTTAAACATACATGGATACCATATGTAGCGAAACGAACTTTAATCATGAAGAAGATATTACAGAATTACTCTTCGCCGACGACCAGATACTCATAGCAGAAAATACGAAATGCCTACAGAACCACCTAAATCAAATTAGTAACAAAGGGGAGGAAAATAATATGAAAATATACACTACGAAGACAGAGACAATGATGATAGGAAGACATAAAGACAATTTAGAAATTAAATTTTAAAAACAACACCCTGAGACAAACAGAGGTATTTAAGTATTTAGGAGCAATTTTTACATCTGACGGAAAACTGGACAGAGAAATTAGCTCAAGATGTGCCAAAGCTAATCAAGTAATGGGTCAACTATCTTCCCTGTTGACACACAAGCAAATACCTCGGAGTACTTCTTCAGATATATCCAGTTTCGTCCTTTTTAGGACGAAATTTTTGTTATTTGAAGCCCCACCCTGGCTTTTGCCAGGGGCCGCAATATAGGCAGGCCATAAATATGTCCAGTTGTCTGAACGCGGTTTCTGGGACCTCTCCACGCGATCCTCATCCACATGGTGGCACTTTGTGTCATCGGGTGTTTATCGCTTGTGTGATGTCCTGGTGGGGTGGAAAGTCAGTAAGTCAGTCGGAGTACTAAAGTAAATCTCTTCAGAACTATTTTTTGGCCAACACTATGCTATCAATGCCAAACGTGGACAATTACATCCTCCAATGAACGTAAAATTGTGACAACAGAGATGAAATGCCCCAGAAGAGCTGCAGGAGTTTCAGGGAAGGACAGAATACAAAATCATGAAATCAGACGAATGCTAGGAATAAAGCCAGTCTTACAAGTCATTAAAGAACAACAAATGAAGTGGTTTGGACACCTAACAAGAATGCCCTGGTACTATCCGCCACAGCGAGCCACACTAAAACGTTACAACGGGTATAGAGGTAGTGGAAGACCTCGGAAAACATGGAGTGATGGCATTAAGAACAGCCTTACAGAAATGAACATCAGTCTTAATAGTGCTCTTGACAGAGCCCATTAACGAACATTACACCCCTCCCCCCCCCCCTCCCCAACACTTCGATGAGGCACAAGGTGGAAAAGAAGAAGAAGAAGAATAACTGTTTTCTGGTTTCTTCTCTATGTGTGTCTAATGTAGCCAAGTTTTTTTCTGTCTAATAACTGTTGATATTAATGGTTGCCCAGATATTTCATTACTTTTTTTTGAAGTCATCCCATTTTCCCCCATCATTTTTTTTTTCAGAGATGTGTTTTCGAATGCATTTAACTTTCGTTCCATGTCTTTAGTAGTTCTTTAACTTTCAATTTCTATTAAGGATATTGAAGAATATTTGAAACACCTTAAACTAATTAAAGCTGAACAAATGATGTGTCTTATCAAATAAAGCTGAACAAATTATGTGTCTATCAAATAAAGCTGAACAAATGATGTGTCTAACAAATAAAGCTGAACAAATGATGTGTCTATCAAATAAAGCTGAACAAATGATGTGTCTATCAAATAAAGCTGAACAAATGATGTGTCTATAAAAAAAAACATGGCCAAAACACTGCAGCTTTCAGGACAGGATGCTATTTACGAGCCAGTTCTCCTCGATGCTCAGATTCTACAACAGTGATTACTACTACCATCACCAAAACTAATTCTACAACTACAGCAACAATTGTTACTACTACTATTCACCTACTGCTAGCATAAAAAAACTAAGCTGACTTCTACAACAACAGCGGTTACTACCAACACTTCTACAACTTTAAAAACGATTACTACCAACACTTCTACAACTTTAAAAACGATTACTACCACCACTTCTACAACTATAAAAACGATTTCTGCCACCACTACTTCTCTTTTTGGTTTTCGATGTCTCATTTGTGTGTGTGTGGGGGGGGGGGTGTTTGTTTGCTGGGGGGGGGGGGGGGGCAGTGTGTGGGGGGAGGGGGTAACAGAGCCGCTGCTTTCCCAACATGCGTGTGGTACCTGGCGACTAATTAGGGATTTTCCCTCCAAAATCTGAGTGCATCTGCCTGAACGGGAGGAATCAACAGTTTGCATACAGGTAAGACACGCAAAAATTTAAGGTTTAGAACAAGACTGAAGTGGACGAACAACCAGAACTTTCCACTGGATTTTAAAGCCGATAAACACTAAAAAGAGTCATCCTCCTCCTGCTCTAGCTCATCCTCCTCCACCTTTTTTTCCCTACTACTGCTACTACTACTACTGTTGCTGCTGCTGTTGCTGCTGCTACTACTACTTCGATGTTTTGTTTTTCATAAATAGAAGGATGGACCTGCCGGCATTCCTCCTCATATCATCGTTCCTAAGTCGATCATTCCTTGCTACACCTAGCATAGTCATCATCATTTAGCAGGTCCTTTGCAGAACGTCGCTCTCATCAAAGTCTGCTGAAAGAAACTCGGTCTCTCGCCAGTTCTCCCGCCTCATGTACTTTCATACTCAATGAGTCACTTATATACTGTGCCCATCTTGGTGTTGGTCGGCCCCTGCCCCTCTTTCCTGGTACCATGTCTTCTGCTATAATTTTTTCCAATCCGTTGTGGCGGTTGATATAACCAAAATAATTCAACTTCCGAGACAGGATGCTGTTTATTAGCCAATCTTCCTTGATGTTGAGATCTTTCAAGATGTCAGTATTTCTCCTCTTCTTTTCCAAGATATTCTGAGAATCTTTCTATAGCATTACACCTCAAAAGCCCCTATTCTTTTTCTTAAGGACTGAGAGATAGTCCACGACTCACATCCATTTGTAGCCACAGGGAAGATGCATGCTCTAAAAATTCTAACTTTGACCTCATTGCTGGTGCTTAACCATAGACTTTTAAGGCTGTTCAATCTTTGCATTGCTATGGCCATCCTCCTTTTAATTTCTGTCAAACACTAGCATAGTAGGAAAACATTATATTTTTACCTTGGCAATTTTTCTGCTGTTTTTTACAGTAGCGCTAAACATGATACTGTACATAAAGGCGTTTACTGCATACAGTTGCTCAACTGCGAAAAAAGCCCTTGTAGTAGTAGTAGCAGCAGCAGCAACAGCAGCAGTAGCAGTAACAGTAGTGGTAGTAGTAGTAGTAGCAGCAGCAGCAGCAGTAGTAGTAGTAGTAGTAATAGTAGTAGTAGTAGTAGTAGTAGTAGTAGTAGTAGTAGTAGTAGTAGTAGTAGTAGTAGTAGTAGTAGTAGTAGTAGTAGTAGTAGTAGTAGTAGTAGTAGTAGTAGTAGTAGTAGTAGTAGTAGTAAGAGTCGGCACAGAACCAATTCTTAACTTTATAGGTAGACAACAAATCAAATTGTTTAGCCATGTAACAAGCTTGCCAGCAGACAGGACACCACAGTGAGCAATGTTATACAGATACAGCAGTAACAGATCCAGAGGTCGACTAAGCAGAATATGGACCTCAGAAATATCAGAGACACTGAAAAGTACTATATACGAAGCTAACAGAAAGGGCAGGTCGAGAGATCTCTTCCTGTCGTGATGCCGCTAGAGTAGAGACAAGAAGAAGAGTAAATGGCTCATTGTGGTAAAAACCGGTACCTTTTTTAAAGGGAAAAAAGCTCTGGCTACAACCACAATTACAACGACCAATACTACCATTGCTGCTGCCGTGTCTACTACTACGACCACCACCACCAATACTACCATCATCACCACTACTCTTACAACCACTAACACTTCTTCAACCACTGCCACTACCACTACAAATCAGCTTCTAGTAAATATCAAAGATATTAAACTAAACGAAAAGTACAAACATTTACATTGAAAATATATATAGTAATAAGACAAGTGGTCCCAACACTAAAATGGTAGCATGAAAATGTGAACACTACAAGAGCACTGTTGAACACAATATTCTTACCAACGCTGTGCTATCAGTGTTAGTTAGTTAGTTATTCGACAGATTATCATCATCGCAAATAGAACCATTCAGTCCATAAGTGCTCAGATCATCACCTCAGTATCTCCCTCAGCGTGTAGTGGCTTATGACACCAGTTCCATGTTAGTTTACTAATCTTTTTTAGGCCCCCATGTAGCGCTCTTGTCTGGCTTCTCCCCTTTTGATGTTATGCTCGTGTAGTCTGGTCAGTGATGCAAATTCACAATCATTACTTGATTCGTTTAATCGAGCTGCCTCTGTGAGGGTATTCTGTATATCAGCCCTGTCCATTGCTCGTCTGTTTCCCACATGAGCATCACTTGCAAGTCTATCAGCTCGTTCATTGCCCTTTACATCAGAATGCTCCGGAACAAACATGGATCTGATTTTTGTATGCCTAGATCTATTCAGGGACTCCACTTAATTGTCTTCGTATGCAGCTCTTCTCGGTATTTTTGAGCATATTAATTTTATCACCCAAAAAGCATGCCCGTGTTTCTAGCCTGGCCATTGCTTTAGCTGCTGTCTTGACCTCCACAGTCAAACTGCTTGTCGTCAAGGCGAAGGCGTTGCAGTCTTGTTCGAAAGTTCTCCCTCCGACCTGAATCACGACAGCAGTAATTTTTCTAAAATATCACGTTCAACCCTCAGGGTTATAACTGATATATAGTGTTAATTGAGTTCTCACGGTGTATATTTGTTAGTTTAAATTTACATATCATCTTTACCAAGATGTAATTTGAATTGTTTGTTATTTTGCTTTGACAAGATGTAATTTGTATTGTTTGTTATTTTGCTTTGATTTTTAATAAGAATTATGATAGAAATTGTATTATGAATAATTAGCCAATGTTGCTAACACTGTGTAATTAACATAGTGGATACATTGTTTCCTTAGTGTGCAATCGTTGATTATTATAATCGATTTTGCCTGTAGTCGAAACTTCTTCAAAGATGCCATAGGTATATCATGTTTCGTGTTAAAAAAAAGAAGAAGATGGACGTAGGAACGATTATATCAGAAGGAGAGTCGGCACAGAACTAATACCGAACTTTATAGGGTGACAACAGATGAAATGGTTTGACCATGTAACAAAACTGGCAATAGACAGAACACCACAGAGCAATATTATGCATATACAAAGGCAACAGATCAAGAGGTCTGCTATGAACAAGTGGACTGCGGAAATATAGGATATAATGAAAAGTACTATGTACGAGAAGCGAACAGAATGGAACATTCAAAAGATCTAATGCAGCGAGGTATACTAGGAGTAGAGAAAAGAAGGAAGATGAAAATATATTAATTAATTCGCGGCTTCATAATACAACACTTCATTAGATTGCACTTTTTATAGGAATCATATCAAGATGTCTGCCGCTGTTAAGGCATGTTACTTGTTACTTTCGGTTTCTGTGTTATTAAATATTATTTACCTGAACTCTGAACCTGTTTCATAATTGTTCATAATTCATAATAGAACTCAGATTAAATCAATTTTAATGATGCAGTATTAATAATATTATATAAATATTCATAGTAGTAGTAGTAGTACAATTTATTTCATATTTACAACCCAAATCAATCAAAATGAAAATAATTATAATTATACAATTAATTGAATTATTGGCTCTACTGGCAAATCCGGACGAAGAATAAACAGCCTTGGACGACTTAGTCAGAGTTCTCTCCCGTGGCCGCACTCCAAACAGTGATCGGAAAAGCCACAACGAAACAAAAAAGACAGTCACGTCGACATCAGGGCTGCCAATGCTTGGTTCTTTCCCCCAGATCTGGTTTTTTTTTGACGCTACAGGACAAATCTGGGTTTTTTTGGTTGTGTTTTGTTTGTTGGTGTTTGCCGATTTGTATGCGTTAATGATCGATAAATTTGCGTGGTTAGGGTTAGAGAGTAGGATTAGGGTTAGCGGTAGGGTTAGGTTTAGCGTTAGATTTGACAATTTTGACGCCGGAGTACCCTATAAACGCGCACAGTCCCATACACACACAAACAATCGAGGGCCTCTGGATGCTGGTAAAACGCACAATTCGCCAACGATTGGGGGCACCAGCCGCACGCTATTGGCGTCATATTTGGCAGAGTTTCAGTGGCGCCACTCCCACAAACATCAGATTGTCGGCCAGTATTTCGAAATCCAATGTCAAAATTTTCACCTAACCCTACCCCTAACCCTACCCCTAACTCTAACCCTAATCCTACCCCTAACCCTAACCCTACCCCTAACCCTAACTCTAACCCTAATCCTACCCCTAACCCTAACCCTACCCCTAACTCTAATCCAACAACCGCATGATGATGACTACACAACCATTCACACTGCCTCACGCAACCGTACGCAACCCTGCACGCAACCATATGATGATGCCACGATGCCTCACTCAACCGTACGCAGCCCTACACGCAACCGCAGGATGATAGCTAAGTGTGTCGTTTGTTTCGTTTGTTTTCCGATCACTGTTTGGAGTGCGGCCACGGGAGAGAACTCTGACTAAGTCGTCCAAGGCTGTTTATTCTTCGTCCGTATTTGCCAGTAGAGCCGAATTATTAATTGCATATATATTTAATCGTAATAAAATATTTAATAAATAATCGATGAGCACTGTCAGCTATCACTATACTAATTATAACCTCAAGGGTTAAACAGGATATTGGAATAATCACTAGTAGTTAGTACTATACTATGTGTTTTTGTTTTGTGCAAATGTTGAATGAATTAGAAAGTAACTTATGGATGTCCCCATGTGCAGTAGTTGTTAGTGTAGTCAGTAGTTAGTGTAGTCAGTAGTATACTGTTTTATCTCAGAAGCACAGTGACTGCTACTGCTAGTACAGTACATGGTAACAAGCCAACGCCTACACTAACAACATTATGCTGTAAACAAAGCCGATCAACATATGTGTTGTTATTTGATATTTTAATTTTTTATGAAACCGTTCTGCAGTAACAGAATGCAGGCAGACAAAATTAACTCTTTCAGGACCACATTTTTTTCTGGGGTTTGGACAGCATTAATTTTGAGCAGAATTATTTTACGGCAACATGACAAAGCGCTGAAGAAAATTTTTTTGGCTATATCGGGACATAATATATCCAGTAAAGATAAATGAGTGCAGAATAAATCTAAACTATTTAAATGTCAGTATAACAACCAAATAATATTAAAATCACACAACATTCAAGGATGTTAGACACATATGAAGTCTGTTTACACAACAAATGTTTTGCTTAGCTTACTTTTTTACTTGTTCAACAACACTGCTATCCAATTTCTAAGAATGCACATGCTTTATCTGTTCAGTTATGTATCAGCTAGTGGCTCTTTTCTAAACTTCTACCCCATATTATGGTGGCCAAACAATTTTCCTAACAGGGCCTCAGTCCTATGCAAGATGGAACCAACTTTCTAAGTGTAACCACTTTAGCCTTATGGATTTGTTAACTTTCAGCGCTAGATAGTTGTTATGTCAACACATTCTACCCCAAGTTTGTGTTCTAGATTATGAGTGATAGTTTTTGAATTTGGTTGAGAACCTGGGTTTCTCGCATGAGTGCCCATCAATTTTAACCATTTGACCAGCTGCTTCTCTTAAATCTTAATATTTAAATTATTACAATATAATAATTTATAGGACAGGAGTTGAACAATGGGGATATAGGGCAATAGTCCTTAAACTTGTTTGGCTCAATGAAAAAAATTGTTTCATTGCCTGCCATGCCTGTAAGCATAGTCAGTCATGATTCGCCATCCTGTAAGATCAGCAAAATCACGGATCGGGTCAGTGCTCTTGTCCCACCCCAGACTTGTGGTCAAGCCATCAAGGTATTTACTTCTTTGCTTGCTTCACGCCATCTGTCTATCAATCTTGCCAGTTATCTGTTCCTTGCCAGGAAATAGATCTTGTGTAAAACTGTAATCAAACAAATATAATGATGCAATGAAATGTTTTTTTAATTGTCTTTCTTCCAGTTTTCAACAGCATCCTCTGCTCTGTCTCGTCTTATTGTTGTTTTCAACAGCATCCTTTGGTCTGTCTTGTTGTTTTAACAGCATCCTCTGTTTCAACCAAAACCTGTACTAACCAGCAAAAAGCACTTTCTAGAAACAATAGGTTAGGAGAATATTGGAGTACTGATGGATCTGTCTGATGTGCAGTTAAAATGATCTTTTAGACTGTTTCCTGCTGTTTTTCTGTTAAGGTGCTGGACTGCCCAAAGGATTTAACATTTGAGGATCTCGTCACAACCATACAGTGTCATCCATCAAAGAACCTTGTTGCTTCCGGGTTGATTAATGGAGATGTTTTTATGTAAGTCAAATGTTTTAATGATTACAGTAGAACCTTAACATACAAATTAATCCCTTCCATGAATGAGTCTAATGGTGAATAACCCGTATCCTGGAAAACAGTTTTCCCATTTAACCTAATTATTTTAATTTGTTGCGACCCTCCAAAAATCACCCGATTAGTTTCTTTCTACTTGTGTTTATCACATTAACTGTATTGCTTACAATAATAATTGTGTGAAAACCAAATACTGAAATAAAATTCAAATAAACTCTTAATTTACATAAAGAAACTTGCAGAAACTTTCTTTTAAGGTGATAGCTAGGGAGATGTAGGTGAAGCAAATAGTTTTGTTATCACTAAAACAGTACACTTGATTTCTATCTTTCTTTCTGAAAGGCTGTCAGGTAACAGCGAGTTCTCTTCTCTTCATTTCATATCCTGGATTTTTCCTCGCATTCTGGGGCAGAAGAATTAGTGAGCCTGACCTCCTGCTCTACAAATCTCATGTTTGGGTACACTGATATCATGGAGTTCCACTGTATTCTGGAATTCTTTGTTGGCTGCTGTGGAAGGGGACTGAGCATATGTGGGAATGGCCCAACAATGATGTCAGTTCATCATTCTTCTCCTTCTTCGATCCTTCTGACAGAAAACTTATATCAGGAGGCCTGTAGCCTTTATGAAAGCTATCGTGCAATCCATATCCTCTCGTGTACCATTCAGTTTTGTCTTCATTGTGGTTGGAACAGGCCAGATTGTATCTCTATTGTCAGCACACAGTTGACAGTGTTGGAGCACATGCTCAGCATTTTCGGGTGCCACGCTGCAGGGACACGTCTCCGTATTTCCTGCACCGAAAAATTTGAACATATGTTGACGAAATCTGTTGTGCCCAGTCCTTAGTCTGAATATAATAGACTGTCCCTCTCTAGAGAGGCGATGAAGTGAGTCTTGGGGAGAAAATCTGTTGTGGGTATCCAGCCACCTTTCTTGGATACTAGATTGTATTAGTGTTTTCATCTCTTGGTGGGTTAAGTCGCTATTTGGTTGTACCATGTCACTGCCGCTTCTGGCCAATCTGTCCGCTATTTCATTGCCTTCCAAGCCACAGTGACCTGGAATCCACTGCAGTACAGATTGTTCTACTGAAGAGCCTAAGTAAATCAGCTGTTGCGTCAAGTCTACAAACTGAGTGTTTTTTGGGTTAACAATAGCTTGTAGAATTGACAAAGCATCAGTCAGAAAGACCACTCTACTATATTTGCTGTGCTGTTGTCCATTCAGGAAAGAACATGCCGCTAGAATTGCTTCTGACTCTGCTCTGTAATTGGAGGAATATGAACCTGTTGGTACAGCCTGGTTGATTTTTAAACCATTTGGGCATTCAATGTATATTCCTCCTCCTCCGTCTCTTACTGCTCTCTTGGCTGAACCATCTGTATACACTCGAATCCAACTCTGGTGTGGATAAAGTCTATTGATCTCTCTTTCTGTAGTTGATTTCATATCAGTGCTGCTCATTGATGATTTGGAGGAGATCCCTGCTACAGTGGTTCTGACTGTTGATAGGCTATCCCTAAGCCAAGGGGGGCAGTCGTAGGGTTTAAGTGGAACATTTGTTTTTATGAGGGAGTTTAGGGACAGCGAGCTTGGCATTTGCGTTCTTAATAAAACAAGTTCTCTTTAGTCTAGCCTTCTGGGGTTTCTGCAGTCGGCTGTGCATGGGTTGAGCATATGGTTGTGAATCATGGAAATCTAACTTTTTAAGTCCTAGACAATTCACTAGTAGATGCCTAACATAAACTATAGCCACAATGAATAATGTATGAGTGTAATACTTTAACAAGGGCAATGCTTATACCCTTGCATGTAAACTTGATTATGTTGCATTTTGAAATAGCTAGCCAGATTTCAACAGTATGTGTCAGATCACATCGTATGTCACATGATTCACATGTACAGTAGTTTATCATACAGTCCATTGTTTGGGACTGAAAGCTAGAAGCGAAGCCTTATTACAAACTCTTGAGAAAAAAGTCCATCAAAGATGTAAACAGCGGATAATGGATAGTGAGAAGCAACAACAAAATGCATAATCTTACCTTTAATTAATAGCATCATGAATGCTAGCAGACTGCAATGGTTGGGGCGATACAAGAGAGATACAAAAAAGTTTGCATACAAAAGAGTTGAACCAGAGTAGACCATACAGCAGACCAAGAAGACATGTAATAGCAGACTTACAAACCCTTGGAGCCACAAACTGGAAAGAGAAGGTTAAGAACTTTAGGGGCTTGGAATGTTGAGTATCGCAAACAGATATCCATCTAGAGGGAAAGTAGAACCTGTTAGTTTCACAGTATCCCAAACACAACAAGTGAACGTTAAGGCTAGAGAGCCCTCATCAGCACATAATAAACAGTGAACAAAAATACACAGACTCACTTAACTGACTTATCTCCAATAGAAGTAACACTTCTGTCTGGTCATTAGAATTAATATATGCATGTGTGGCCGCCACAATTGAATACAGGCCAGAAAAATTTCCTGAGCAACAAGGGCCATAACTCTAAGATGTATAATAGGTTAGAGTCCCCTAGAGGATCGGGCACCCAAAAGATAAATAAAGCGATTCTCAAGAGACTTACAGAATCTCTGAATGCTGAAGTAGAAGAAGACATTTCTATGAAGACAACAGAAGGGTTTTACAGGTGAATGTAAACTCCCCATACTAGTTTATAGATGAAGTATACTAACCACATCAAGCATTAGATGATACAAATATGGAGGTGGCATCATATGCCAGATATGTATCAAAGCATAATAAAAGAGTCCTTTTCTTACTTTTATTTATGTTGCAAAACAGACGGCCAATTGAAAGAAATGCAAAATCGGAGGAATTATGTGTGTATGGTCAAGAAAATGTGAAACAAATAGGATGAATCGACAGGTTTCTGTGGGCTACAGAAATCTTGCAGCTCCATCGAAACAGTGCGTCTGGCAGTTCTCAGAATCTAATTAAGATTTTCTTGACCAAAAATATTGATGTGGTTCATCAGGGTCCACGCTGTCCCAACATGGCTTCATAAGGTATTTAAATGTTGCCGAAGCTGACAGTACTGCTAAAAGAGATGTGTCTTGAGTCACAAGAAGATCAGTAGAGTGCAGCTTTCTGCACTGTACTCCATTTCCCAAAAAAACTTCTGGAATACCTACAGCAGGGGCTGAAGCACTAACAGAAGTGCAGCCCCGAATGAAAAGTTCAGAAGAGAGCATGAGCACTAAAGAGGGCTTCAGCCCTTCGGGTGAGTAGCTGTATTTTCTTAAGCTACAAGTTAGATACCATTTATACAGACCTTATATATTGTGTATAAATTGTCCAATAAATACATGATGCATTGCATTGTTATAAAAGAATTAAGTTTAGTTTGAACATCTTCAGACATTCCTTCAGCTGTGAAGCAGAAAATGCAGAAGTTCACCAGTTTGTTCATCACAGGAAAACTTGTAGGGCCCTAAGGTTCTCAGATGATGGCAGGCGTTTGTTTTCAGTGTCCAAAGACAAGTCTTTGTACTGCGTTGACGTGGAGACGGGCCGGCTCAAGAAGAAAATCAAAAATGCTCATGAGTATGTCAGCTTTATTTTAACTGATTGTATGTCAGCTTTATTTTAACTGATTGTATGTCAGCTTTATTTTAACTGATTGTATGTCAGCTTTATTTTAACTGATTGTATGTCAGCTTTATTTTAACTGATTGTATGTCAGCTTTATTTTAACTGATTGTATGTCAGCTTTATTTTAACTGATTGTATGTCAGCTTTATTTTAACTGATTGTATGTCAGCTTTATTTTAACTGATTGTATGTCAGCTTTATTTTAACTGATTGTATAATTTATCAGTATTTAAAGAGCCAGATTATTGTTGTGATTATTGTTGTTATGTCTTCCCCGTGTGGGTCTCAGTGCCCCATTTTGGGGGAACCAACGAATGAAAAAACTTTATTTTCAAAGAGGTCAAATAGTGAGATAATATTCAAATAGCTTCCAATTGTATTTATAGAGGTTATTGATATTTTTGATTGGTTGTGGAAGTTGGTTTGCCATTGCTTTCTGGACGGTCAGCTTCTCAATACCACTGTCGAAACCAGCGCAAGGCCCGCAACACTTTGGCATTACAAAGAGTGTTCGCAACCCCTAAGGCACAGACACTGACTCCATGATTGATACTGACTCTTTTTTGAAGTTCTGTAAGCGGTTTCATTATTGAACTTGGACAACCATCCCATATTGTGGAGCAGCAATCTAGATGGGTCTGAATATGTGTTATCACAGTTCCAAACTTCTCAGTAACTCTGTTTGATTATATTAGGTTCCCCGTGTGGGTTTCGGGGCCCTGTTATAGGGAAAACAAGAATAGACTCACTACCTACCCAAAAGCATGTCGTAAGAGTCGACTAATTGGGAGCTTCCTTCGAAGTCGGAGTGCATCTGCCTGAGAGGCAAGGAACCAGCAGTCTGCACACAGATGAGTCAGATCTGTAAAACGGATGCACACGCAACACTCTGGTTTTGGAACAGGACTGCAGTCCAGAAGTGGATGAACAACCAGAACTTTCCGCCAGAGTTTACAGCTGGTGACCAAGAAGAAGAAGAAGATTATATTAGGAGTGTTGATTTCTGTCAGAAACAGAATCTATGCATCATGGGATGATACCTACATGGTCTTTTATTCATTGCACAGTACATATCACATGTCTATGACATGGTCATGTTCAGTATAAACAGTTCTGTGCGGTGCGGCACTGACAAGCTTCAAATGAACACTCCTAAAAGGTAAAGCATATAAAGATACAGGGTCGGCACCATATGCCCTATATGCAAATGAGAGGAGGGATGTAGAGGTACATCACAAGTGTGGTGGTGCGCTAGGGCCTGTCTAGACCTAGAGGCATATCTCCATGGTCATCCTAAAAACAGATTTCCAGCAGCAACCCAGGTCAGAGTAGATTGAAGCAATGTTTACTTTCCAGACTGCAAAGCCTGAGGTGTGAGGAACCAACAGTCTGCACACAAAATAGCCAGATCTGAAACACTGATGTTCACACAACACCAGAGTCCTGGAACCGGACCAGAGTGCACAAGTGGATGAACAACAAAGACTTTCTGCTAGAGGTCTCAGCCAATGAATGCGAAGAACCTTTGCATAGGTTACAGGTCAGAGATGATTTGTTGCTGCAGTAAAACATTAACAGGACCTTGCTGAAGGTGAACAGTTATCAGGGATACAATTTTGATTCCAGCAGGGTTGTTTTATTAAAAATATATCTGTTTGTCCCTGGTTAGCACAGATTTGTTTAAGACAAACTCTTGATTGTTTGCTCTCTTGGAATTTGTATGAATGAGGCTTTACTGTGCTTGTTTATTGGGCCTTTTCATATGTTGCATGTCTAAGAGGATATGTTTCTGTCTCCTTCTCAGATCCCCAATCTACAGTTTAGCTCTCACCGGGGACACATTTCTGGCTACTGGAGACGACGATGGGGTTCTTAAGGTCAGTTTTTCTATGATTTTGTTACAGTATGTCTGGTGAGCTGTGGTGGCACAGTAGTTAGTGCACTTGCCTCCAAGTTCCTCAGTTCATATGATATCACATCTAGTTTGTAGAATGGAGGATGAGGCGGTCAGTTCAGCGTTGAGAATCAGCTGCACACACACACACACATTGTGATTGTAAACTACCTCCACCTTTCTCAAGATGCTCTGTGAGCCAGTTACAATCACACAATGTGCATGCGGCTGGTTCTCAAGCAAGCGGAAGGCTTCAGTAACCACCTCAGCCTCCATTCTCAAACTACATGTCATTTGCCAGGCTTTGTTGCACTTAACAAGGTAAGCGGAGGATAAGAAGAAGACCAGGCTGCCTAATTTTCTGGGAATTGTCATGGAAGTAAAAATGATGAGGCAGGGAACCACTACCCAACCTTGAATATCATGGCCAAGAATATATGAAGGTTGCCACTTTAGACCCCAGTAACAGCTCTGGGACAACCTTTACAGCAAATTTAGTTATCTGCTCCATCAGTTGAGTCAAGACACCGCTGTCAGCATTCTGGGGGCCCCCCAAAATCAGACCCACTGCACCCCCACCCCTCCACACGCACACACACACCCAAAAAGCAAATGAAAATCCACCAATTAAAGGTGTTCACTTGGAAGTCAAGAGTGCGTCTGCCTCAAAGGTGAGGGACCAGATTGGTAACACAGATGTGCATGCAAAACTCAAGTTCTGAAAGTGAACAAACAACCAAAACTTATTTGGAGATTACAGCCAGTTAACGTGAAGGAAAATTAGAGTTGAGTTAGGAATTGACATCACAGTTAGGCCTTATGAATTTAGTTTTCCTGTGCAAGCTTCACAGTTTTGCTAGGACTGACATGATACATACTAGTTTTCAAATGGGACAGTGACAGACATTTTGTGTGATTTCCACTAGCTTAGGAATGGAGCAATGTGTATGAATCTCGAGGTAACAGCTAACTGATATCACAGCACTGGAGACATCACATGTATGCTCTATCCCCATATTCAGCTGCCAGCATAGAGTGCCACCGTACCAGTAGCAGTTTGATTATATGTCTGTCTTGCCTTTCCCCTGAGTGTAGAATGTTGGCCAGATCCTTCATCACTTCTCACACACCGTAATGATCTCTTTGTACCTACACATAGTTTACTCACTCTCAAAGGGCATTTAGTTTGTCAACTTCACAGAACAGTGAATAGACAAAGCACATCTTCAGATGATAAGCTCAGATCTGAAGAACCCTCTGCACCTCATGTTCTTCAGGAAAAAGGGCAATAGACTTAAAAGGGGCAAATCATGGCTGGGCAGTGCAGATGATATCATATATGTCTGAGGCCTTACAGATATCCATCCAGATGATATCATATATGTCTGAGGCCTTACAGATATCCATCCAGATGATATCATATATGTCTGAGGCCTTACAGATATCCATCCAGATGAGGAATGGATACCAGTATCTAAAGCACCCTATCTCACATTCTCCTGGGTCGTGACACTTGGTAGGAGTTGTCGGGAGCGAATCTTGCTGCTGTCAACGCTGTGGTATGCATCCTTATCAGTGACAGGTCAGATGAGTCAGGTGTGCTGATCTTCACAGACAGGTCCGTTATGTGAGGACATAAGAGTGCATGGGCATTTACAGTTTGCCTTTCAGGCAGAACAGTTCAAGATGCCAGCAGTGCCTTTTATATGACTACCAGCAGCATGACGATGAAGGTGATGGTGGTGACACAAGCTTTCATGTGGCTAGAATTACAGGACTATTCCTATGTGTGTGTGCTGAGTGATTCCTTGAGCATGCTCCGATGGGTCAAGGCAGGCTGGTTACGCAGACAGTGGATTAGTCATTGCAGAACTCTCCTGTGTGTGCAGTTACCTTCATCTTTGTCCGAGGGAATGCAGGTGTTGTTGGTTATGAAAGAGCTGATACACTGGCAGGTGCTGCATTAATTGAAGATGCCGGCCCATGGATCACGCAGACATTGAGATAAGACGTTCTGAGGATTTTGGAAGCAGCGTGTCCACATCACTGCTAAGAATACGCGAATTGGGAGTAAAGATCGGCACAGCCAAGCATGACAAGCACACTGGACGCCCACAAAGTCTTGTCTACCAGCATAGGAGTGGCACTAATAACCACGCGACACTGATGAATATGTTGAGAGTGGAATCTGAGCACCTCATAACTGCTCAGATCACTGCTGTAGATCTCAGAAATAACTACACTGCAGCATTAACATGTGTACACAATTAAACAGAATAAGAGTAAATGAGAGAATGGTCTAATACACAGTAGTTACCTGAACTATTCTGAATTTTACAAAGGAAATCATTTCTTTTGAAATGAAAGTGCATGTTACTTACCTGGATGACTCCAAACTTACACTTTTTCTTCATCTTCATTTGCATTTACCAGCTGTAAACTCTAATGAAAATCCCTGGTTGTTCATCCAGTTTTGGACCTTGGTCTTATTCCAGAACTTGGGTTTTGTGTGCCTATCAATTTTACTGATCTTTTATTTTATATATTTGGAGTAGTCCATGTAAGTATCACCTGTGTACAGCGAGATATGTCAGGCGGTCAAGTACAGCCAGATATGTCAGGCGGTCAAGTACAGCCAGATATGTCAGGCGGTCAAGTACAGCCAGATATGTCAGGCGGTCAAGTACAGCCAGATATGTCAGGCGGTCAAGTACAGCCAGATATGTCAGGCGGTCAAGTACAGCCAGATATGTCAGGCGGTCAAGTACAGCCAGATATGTCAGGCGGTCAAGTACAGCCAGATATGTCAGGCGGTCAAGTACAGCCAGATATGTCAGGCGGTCAAGTACAGCCAGATATGTCAGGCGGTCAAGTACAGCCAGATATGTCAGGCGGTCAAGTACAGCCAGATATGTCAGGCGGTCAAGTACAGCCAGATATGTCAGGCGGTCAAGTACAGTCAGATATGTCAGGCGGTCAAGTACAGCCAGATATGTCAGGCGGTCAAGTACAGCCAGATATGTCAGGCGGTCAAGTACAGCCAGATATGTCAGGCGGTCAAGTACAGCCAGATATGTCAGGCGGTCAAGTACAGTCAGATATGTCAGGCGGTCAAGTACAGCCAGATATGTCAGGCGGTCAAGTACAGCCAGATATGTCAGGCGGTCAACTGTAATGTATTCTTCTTCTGAAGTTGCTCTTGAAAGCTCCGTTGGCACGTTGTTGTTTACAGCTAGACTGCGATATCTGCACCTTTATGACCAATACATCCAATTCAATCAAATTTGTATTTACGTTTACAACGTTCTTGCTAAGGGACGGTGAGTCTGTTCTTTTCTCCCAGAACCCACACAGGAAGTGTTTGTCTTCATTATTTAGAGTTATTTTTTCATTGCTATGGTCATCATCATTCAGCCGGTCTTCTAAAGAACATTGCTGTCATCACGGCATGCCTGAAGTCTTTATGTAGACAGTTCTCCAGCCCTATGTGCTTTCATGCATCCTCAGTGTACTGTGTCCACCTTCAGAGAGTTCTATCTCTGCCTGGTTTTCCGGAAACTGTACCCGACGTCACTGTTTTCTCTAGGTCACCATGGCTTTTAGCATGACCAGAATACCTCAGCTTTCATGACAGAATGTTGTTAACGAGCCAGGTCTTCTTGATACTCAGATCATGTAGTATGACAATATACTTTCTTTAAGAGTTTTCGGGATATATAATGTGGTAGTCTCCCCTTGCTTTCCACATCCTTATCGCTAGAGTCACATTTGTGTAAACTAGCCGGTTTATAAACTACCGCAGTATTATCACAAGAAGCTTGTCTTGGCAGCCAAAAATCAAATAACAGCAGAAGGCATGGTACCAGGAAAAAGATACAGGAGCTGATCACAAGGGACGTGGGTACAGGATACAAGGAACACCTTGGGGGGGGGGGGGGGTGCACGAGGCGGGAAAGCTGCCAAGAGACTGTGATGGTAGCGTCATTCTGTCTATTACCTCTGCATGGTGGTTATGGTGAGGCAGTTTTATTGTACTGTGTTTATCTCATGGACTTTTCAGGTATGGGACATGAGAACCAAAGCAGCCACCATGGAATTGAAGGAATGTGAAGATTTCATCAGTGATATGGTTGTGGAGGACAACAAGAAAATTATCGCTTCCAGGTTTGTCTGATGTGTTCATATTTCTCTAAACAAGACACTTGTTGCTTCCAGGTTTGTCTAATGTGTTCATATTTCTCTAAACAAGACACTTGTTGCTTCCAGGTTTGTCTAATGTGTTCATATTTCTCTAAACAAGACACTTGTTGCTCCCAGGTTTTTCTGATGTGTTTAATATTTCTCTAAACAAGACACTTGTTGCTTCCAGGTTTGTCTAATGTGTTCATATTTCTCTAAACAAGACACTTGTTGCTTCCAGGTTTGTCTAATGTGTTCATATTTCTCTAAACAAGACACTTGTTGCTCCCAGGTTTATCTGATGTGTTCATATTTCTCTAAACAAGACAGTTGTTACTCCCAGGTTTGTCTTTTGGCTAGAAGAAGAAAAAAAGACTTATAGGTGTGCCGTGACAAGAGCGTCGTTCTGAAAGGACCTGTTGATTGATGAGGATGAACTTGCTCTACAGGCAGACTTGAGACTAGAGGCAAAATGAAAGTAACAAATCAGTTGACTTTTTTTAGGTAGTTATTTTGACAGTCAAGGAAACATAAAAACAGAAACCATGGCATGCATTGGCTTGTCATCAACAGTTTTTAAACAGACTGAACAAAATATGGAACTCTAAATAGTTTCAAAAACCACTTAACGTATTTTCAGTTCTTATGTTTTTTTTTCAGTTTTAACTTTTGCCCATGAAAGTTTGAGAACCACTGAAGAGATGGAACAAAAGTTAAATATATTTGAAATCAAATCCCTGAGGATAAAAATGAACATGGAATGAATACAAAAGGGGTTAAAGAAGTAAGAGTAACGTCTGGGCAACCATTGATCATGACAAAGAAGATGGCAACACATTAGACACCATGTGATACGAAAAGAGCGGAGAATCACCAAAAAGTCACTATAAGAGGAAATCATAGGGTTGAGGAAGCAAGGATGTCCAAAAGAAACTCTAAATCGAATGTTGAGGAGAGAGGCCAAAGCTGCTGGACTTCATTCTGGCTATGATATTTAATGGAGGAATAGACTGTTAAGCCTGTGGGACATAGAATACACAAAAGGGCAATGATGATGTTGATGATTCTACTCCACAGTGGTGAGGGTACGCTGACGTGCTTCAACATTAGGCAGAAAAAGATGGAGAGTCAGTCCGAATTGTTCGACTCTGAGTTGCTCTGTCTGGCAAGAATGAAGGTTGGTAACTGAGAAAGCTGGTTTGTGTCTTTTCCATATTTGTCAACATTGTTATGATGATGGCCACCATCATCTCTATCATCACTGTCTCCATCCCCTCATCTCTTTCACCGTTGTCTTAATCGTCATCATCACCAATGTCTTCATCATTTCTTTCACAGTTATCTTCATCATTATCATCGCTTTCACTATTGTCAGAGTTATTATCATCCTAATTAGCATTCTCATAATTTCTGTCACCGTTGCATTCTCCGCTGTCCTCATCGTCATTACTAGAAAATCAATCTCATCTATCTCTTCAACATCATTTCTGACGTCACTAGAAAATCATTCTCATCTATCTCTTCAACATCATCTCTGACATCACTAGAAAGTCATCCTCATCTATCTCTTCAACATCATTTCTGACATCACTAGAAAATCATCCTCATCTATCTTTTCAACATAATCTCTGACATCACCAGCCTCATCTGTGTTTTCATCACCTGTGTTTTCATCATCATGTATATAATATCCTCATCTGTATTTTCATCACTGTGTATATAAACAGTAATATTATCTTCCTCTGTATCTTTATTATCATTATCTATTCTTTTCTCCACCATTATCTTGTCTAAAATATTTGTTTGGTTTTCTCTACTGTCATGCCCACAAAACACTGTCATCAGTATCTTCGTTATCTGCATCATCATTGTCATCATCACCTCCATTATCATTGCTTATTATCATCTTTATTATAATAATCATGACAATAATCATTTCAGTAATCCCCATCCTTCCAACCAAAAGTTTCTCATCACCACTCCCCACCGCTCCCTAAGTTCTACAACTGGCTCATGTGTGTTCCCAGGGTGGACGTAAACTGGTATGTGGGACCAGTGAAGGTGTGTTGAATGTCTTCAACTGGGGCCAATGGGGGAACATCAGTGATCGGTTCCCATGTGGGGTTGACCAGATAGACAGTGTGGTTGCCGTCACAGACGATGTGTTGTGTGTGGGGACCAGTGATGGTAATATCAGGTTAGTGTATTTATTCTGATCTTCTTCTGTTTCCTTATCTTAAGTAATAACTCTTAGATGACCATGGATGTGGCCCTTAGCCTTGGCTGGCAGCTGGTTTAGAAGGGAAGCTCCAACTAACAGATAGGCCCAGCAGCATTGGCTGCATGCTTTGATCCAAGTGCATCGGTGTTGTTACCGTTTCTTTGTAGTTATCTTCACAGCACTCCGGACACGTCCCTTCAGATTCCATCTTCAGCATATACATCAGCGTCCCAATATTAATAGTGCCAGTCCTACGCCACACCAGACCGCCTCTCCAGAACTCACTTCATCACCTCTCTATAGAGAGAAACTGTGTGTCATATTCAGGCTAAGGACAGGGCGCAGCAGACTTTGCCAGTATATATTCAAGTATTTTTATGTAGGAAACACAGAGGTGTTCCCAGCAACTTGGCACCAAAAAATGTTGAATGTGTGCTCCAACACTGTCAACTGTATGCTGCCAATAGAGATGCAATCTGGCCTGTTCCAACCACAATGAAGACAAAGCTGTGTGGTACAAGAGATATTTGGACTGCACGATAGCCTTCATCAAGGCAGCCACCTCCCGATATAGGTTTTCTGACAGAAGGATCGAAGAAGAAGAAGACATTCTTCAGGATCAGTACCAACAGAGTCTGGTGAGAGACCGAGTTTGTTTCAAGCAAACCGTCATAAGAGCAATATTCTGCAATGGACACGCTACGTGATATTGATGATTCATTTTATAAATTGATTTTAGGACTGAGTTGTAACTTGAGTTGATTTTAGGACTGAGTTGTAACTTGAGTTGATTTTAGGACTGAGTTGTAACTTGAGTTGATTTTAGGACTGAGTTGTAACTTGAGTTGATTTTAGGACTGAGTTGTAACTTGAGTTGATTTTAGGACTGAGTTGTAACTTGAGTTGATTTTAGGACTGAGTTGTAACTTGAGTTGATTTTAGGACTGAGTTGTAATTTGAGTTAATGTTTGTTAAATTTTCAGGGCAGTACACGTGCTTCCAAACAGAGTGCTAGGAATTGTGGGACAGCACGAAGAAGGATTTCCCATAGAAGACATGAGTTTGACGAGTGACCAGGCTTATGTTGCTAGCTGTTCTCATGATCGAAGAGTCAAATTCTGGAATGTGGACGAGCTGAAGACACAGACCGTTGACACCAGCAAGAAAGGCACAAAACAGGCCAAGAGAAGGCTGGTCAAATTTGGCAAAGTCAAGAAAAATGACTTTTTCTCAGGTTTGGTTGAGGATAATAATGGTGATGATGATAAGGATAATGATAAAAGTGATGAAGATGATTCTGATTCTGATTAAAATTTGTTTGTTAGATAAATAATGGTATATTTGTTTTTAATTGTTTCTCCTGTTTCTTTGTGGAGATCCTGAGTTGAGGCAGGTACCACCATCATAGGACTTGGTACCTTTCCTTGGGTCTCCATCCTAGACTTTGATCTGATTTCAGTACTTTTGCATACACCTCCATATTACAAATGTGGTTTATTTGTATGCAGACTGTTGGTTCCCCACCTCCCAGGCAGGTGCACTCTGACCTCAAAGATAACACCCCTAACTAGTAGCCTTTTACGAATTCTTAAGGAAAGCGGTAAGTCTATCCACTCCCTGCCCCCTTACACAGTGGGGCCCTGGAACTAAGGATACATCTCTGCTGGTATCACTATTGTGTTCATGTTAACTCAATGTTTGTTCTAAGCACGTTTGTGTTAACGAGGTTTTATATGACCCAGCTGAAGCTTAGACTTTTGCTAGTTAGTCCACTCATTTCTGGGAAAGAACAAACACCCACAAAAATGACCCCCTTTCATGCTGGTCAAGTGAAGGATACTTTTCCACACCACTAGGGCACATACAGACCACCCGTCACATGATGCTTGATCTGATCAACATCATGGCGGCCGCCTTTACTTTTCAGGACTTTACCTTACCCATTTCAGGCTGTGTAGACCTGGAAGCTGGATGTAGATTAGAACTTGCAACTTTTGAGTCAAGGTGGAGCATCTAACTGCTACACCATTTTGGCTATCTTATCATGTTGCTCAGTGACTGTATGATGCCAGCAATATTTTACTAGATTAATTATTACATGGTGGGTTATATAGTCAATGCCATGATGGCCATCTTTACTTCCCTATAAATTTCCTGTTACTCGTGCTAGATGAGTTTTTATGGATGTGCTAATTAGTGTGAACCCACAGATACATACACACACACACACAAGTAATAATCCAAGGAAATGACATGTAAGTGATCAAATAACACAATACTTTTGAATGTGGTATATAATTTAGTAATACATATATATACATACATTACTTTAGGAAAATCTGTGTAAGTAATTGATACATTTAGAACTTTTCAAAGGAGCTTTAGGTAGTTCTTTACATTTGAAATGGCAGACCTAGAGTTGAGGCTTCAAAATCCCTTGAAGGAATATACCTTTGTGAACCATGAAGATGAAAAACAGATCTATTTTGATCTGAGCTGGTTAGCAACGTGTCCCACAAGCTGAGCTGATCAACTACTTCCTGTCCCACAAGCTGAGCTGATCAACAACTTCCTGTCCCACAAACTGAGCTGATCAACTACTTCCTGTCCCACAAGCCGAGCTGATCAACAAATTCCTGTCCCACAAGCTGAGCTGATCAACAACTACCTGTCCCACAAACTGAGCTGATCAACTACTTTCTGTCCCACAAGCTGAGCTGATCAACTACTTCCTGTCCCACAAGCTGAGCTGAGCAACAACTTCTTGTCCCACAAGCTGAGCTGGTCAACTTCCTGTCCCACAAGCTGAGCTGATCAACAAATTCCTGTCCCACAAGCTGAGCTGATCAACAACTTCCTGTCCCACAAGCTGACCCTGACCTGGTCAACAACTTCCTGTCCCACAAGCTGACCTGGTCAACAACTTCCTGTCTCACAAGCTGACCTGGTCAACAACTTCCTGTCTCACAAGCTGACCCTGACCTGGTCAACAACTTCCTGTCTCACAAGCTGAGCTGATCAACAACTTCCTGTCCCACAAGCTGAGCTGATCAACAACTTCCTGTCTCACAAGCTGAGCTGGTCAACAACTTCCTGTCCCACAAGCTGAGCTGGTCAACTTCCTGTCCCACAAGCTGAGCTGGTCAACAAATTCCTGTCCCACAAGCTGATCTGGTCAACAACTTCCTGTCTCACAAGCTGAGCTGATCAACAACTTCCTGTCCCACAAGCTGAGCTGATCAACAACTTCCTGTCTCACAAGCTGAGCTGGTCAACAACTTCCTGTCCCACAAGCTGAGCTGATCAACAACTTCCTGTCCCACAAGCTGAGCTGATCAACAACTTCCTGTCCCACAAGCTGAGCTGGTCAACAACTTCCTGTCCCACAAGCTGAGCTGGTCAACTTCCTGTCCCACAAGCTGAGCTGAGCAACAACTTCCTGTCCCACAAGCTGAGCTGGTCAACAACTTCCTGTCCCACAAGCTGAGCTGGTCAACTTCCTGTCCCACAAGCTGAGGTGATCAACAACTTCCTGTCCCACAAGCTGAGCTGGTCAACAACTACCTGTCTCACAAGCTGAGGTGATCAACAACTTCCTGTCCCACAAGCTGAGCTGATCAACAAATTCCTGTCCCACAAACTGAGCTGGTCAACAACTTCCTGTCTCACAAGCTGAGGTGATCAACAACTTCCTGTCCCACAAGCTGAGGTGATCAACAAGTTCCTGTCCCACAAGCTGAGTTGATCAACAAGTTCCTGTCCCACAAGCTGAGCTGATCAACTACTTCCTGTCCCACAAGCTGAGCTGAGCAACAACTTCCTGTCTCACAAGCTGAGCTGGTCAACAACTTCCTGTCCCACAAGCTGAGGTGATCAACAACTTCCTGTCCCACAAGCTGAACTGATCAACAACTTCCTGTCCCATAAGCTGAGGTGATCAACAACTTCCTGTCCCACAAGCTGAGCTGATCAACAAGAAGTTGAACAGGGATGTGTTGGGACACAGGAAGAAGTTGAACAGGGATGTGTTGGGACAAAGGAAGAAAAAGTTGAACAGGGAGGTTTTGAGACAAATGAAGAAGTTGAACAGGGATGTTTTGGGACAAAGGAAGAAGAAGTTGAACTGGGATGTGTTGAGCCTCAGGATTTAGGGCCGCATGGCTAGTGTAGTCACCATGAAATGGGCAGGTTTATCATCACCAAGTACCTTGCCGACATGCTTGGGTGATTCTCTCTGTCCACAAACTGCCACCTCCAACAGCACCAGTTTCCTTCGATGCAACGACAAACAGCTGTCAAAAATCTTCTTCTGTTGGCTTCCCTGATCTCTGTTTCCACAAATCTGACAAGTCTTCCCAGCAGGTTCCAGTTTCTTTCCTCTCACGACTTTGTTAAGAAAAAAATGATGACGGCTCTTTCCAATATTTGCGTTAGGTCTTCTTCAGGCTCTCGCCTTTTTCAAAACATCAGGATGATTCATTTCGGCTATCAAAGGGGTGTTAGGCATTGTTGAGGAAAAACCATATTTCTAAGGCCTCAAGAAGTTGTTTCGGTTGTTTAGTAATTGTTCAGTGCAGACAGGGCCTATTTAGGCTAACTGCAACATGTGCAGCTGCACGGCACAATTCTGAAAGCTGAGAAAAAGAACGATTGAAAACAATAGAAGTATCTTTCTGGCTTTTATCAGTTTGAAAGTATTGTCTTGTACCTCGCATTATTGTTCAATTAGGAACCCACATTGCTCAGTTGTTTTATCTGCCGTGTATTCCATTCAGTTTAAATACTTTAATACAGTTTAAAACTCCCATTAGTAATTTCACAATTTATTGTTGGTAGTCCGTGAACGAACGGCGAGCCTGAATTGTAGCCGATAGGTCAAAGGTGGCATAAAACGATTGCACACAAGGACTACATCCTAACTACCCTTTGGTCCTGCAAATGCTAAAGAAAATGGGTAATGAACGCAGAAGAATCCTTTAAAAAAAGTGTTACACATGTCACCAATAAGTAGAAGTTTTCAAAACTATTTGAAGATATTGAGCGTGGTAATCTGTAAACACAAGCAGAGCGAAGCATTTGAAAAGAATGCATTCGCTGTGCCTAAAAATAATATGTATTGGATGACTCATTCCATGATCTGTATCACTGAGACTTACGGGAAAATTTGACGTGGACTTAGCTTTAAAATAGGCCATTCGGGTTATAAAGTAACACTCCTACCCATTTTTTTTTTCATTTTCCAAATGCTGTTTTTAGTTACTGTATTCATATCCTGGCATATAGAACGCTGCGAGGCGCACATAGAACCAGTGGAATATAACTAGACTTTTCGAGAACAAGTTACTGCAGGCATGGTGATTATGTGCATATATACGGGACTGTGTCAGAACCGGAAGTGACTAGCTTTAGTTGTCTTGCAATGACAGGGTTAATTTTGCCTCCGTAAAGAAGAATGAAAAAAAAAAAAAAAACTTCCGTCGCCCTCCTGGGGATTTGAAATCTATGGCATTACTAAATCGACAGAAGTAGACAGAGTCTGTCGGTAGGTTTCATTGCACTGGGCTTAACACCAGAGTTCTCTTGAGGAGCTCGGATGTGTCCATCGTAGTTGTAATTAAAGTAGCCAGATTTTGTTAGCTCGCCTAGGAGATGGCAAGGCCGCGCACGTTTACAAATATCTTCCATTTGGGACTGGTGAAGAGCTCTGTATGTCTCAAATTGGATTGTGGCTTCGTCAGTGTTCTCATCTGATCGAAGTTCTGTCAGACAGGAAATTTTTATTGTTTAAGGAAAAATTATAAGCAAAGATAGGGCAATAAAGGCATAAGGTATGATTAGCAGTCACAAAAGAAGAGAAAAAAAAAAACCAGGAAAGATTAATCTCCAGGCAATATACAAGCTGAGCTGAGTTGACCGACATAACAGCACTCAGGACATTCACATAAGTGTTTCGTCTCTCATCATTAACAGCCCATACAGGTTCCAGTTCTGACGGTACCAGTGGCAGCTTTTATTGATTGCTCGTTTTGCCTTTCGCTGAGTGTCGGCCAGATCTCCCCATCACTCCCGGCGGCATCAGTCTCTCCAGACTATGACGATCTACTTGTGCTTCCGTACTGCTCACTCATTCCCAAAGGGCATTGACGTCAGCTAGCTCGGCATGCATCAGTTCACCCCTAACTTGTGCAGAACCAGGAGATCTATCTGCTTCTTTGTTTCCTAACACACCTGTTTAACCTGGAGACAAGGATACAAATGACGCTAACAAACCAGGACCACTGACAAACAAACTGAAAGCAATGGTGGCCACA